CTCCTAGCCTGTAGACTTCAAAACTATATTTTCCCAAAAGTGCTGTAACTTCCACCTATATGTTGGCCTTAGGCATCCCATCTTTATGAACAACGTGAGGGCGCTGTGTCAACTGGAGAACATTAAAGCATGTGCAAGACAGAGTGTGCAGGGGTGCTCAAACAACTTTCAAGGCAAACGAAAAACGAATGTCAAGTCAACCAAAGCAGTGTGCCTAGGACTCAATTCTGATGCCCACACATAGACGTCTAGTGCCATTTGAGATGCCCTTGAATATCTGCCTGGCCTCCAGATCCCATTCCAAAAGCACATGGGTCTCCTAAAGGTCCTGTGTCACAGCTGCGGGTATCTTGGCCACACTACAGAACCTCTTAATGTACTGCTTTAAGAGCAACTACATAGGCAAATGAATCAAGCACCTGGCAAGTTTAGGTAACTCCAAAATGAGGCAGCAGTGCAAGAATGACTGCGGTCTCACATGACCAGTGTAAGTCACCAGTTCCGGTCTCACATAACCAATTTCAGGACCGGCCTGTTTTGTTTTATATGCCTTTATTAAATCAAGCCCTAAACTCTTATCCTGCGTAACTAGCAAGCTCTAAGACAGCCCATAAAGAAATATGCCAAACAAAACACTTACCCACACAGAGGTTTCAAGGAAGCTTAGCTGGAAACCAATGCTTTGTGCCCACAGTGGAAAATCCCAGGCAAGACTTCACTGGAGAAGCTTCCAAAGAGTATTGCTTTGGATACAGTGGAAAAGCTAAGCACTGACAGGAACAGCCATTCAGAAGAACACAAAAGATGATTATTTACTTCAGTCTCGATTCTATGCTCTGTGTGATTTGCTGTTGTAAGTGTTTGAATGAATGCCTTGGACAGCAGAAATGTCAAGAGAACGCTTCTTCAGCTGAGTATCTGTGCTCACCCACATCCCAGGGAGTGCATGTACAAACAGCAGTACTGCCGTGCCAAGCATATGGCTGCAGATGATTGCTAAAAATTGTGATTCAGTCTTATGTAGTTACACAGACAGCTGATATACAAAGAATTTATTTAGCAGAAGACTTGTTTCTTCTCTTAGTCCTAACCTCCATCTCTGATTTTTCAGTAGCACCTTCTCCTCCAGCACCTCCTCTCCTCTAATTTCCCCTGCTCTGATTTGGTTTTGTACAGTTATTGAAAAATTCAGGCTATCTGAGGACTTATGGGTGCAGAGTACCTGTGGGTCCTAGGTGCTCTATTATGCACCTGCATGGCTCTGTCATCCACTCGTGAGGGTGAAACAACACTGTGCGCTGACAAGACTAACCACATGGTATGAATAACTAACTATTGGAAAGGTATTTGCTTTATAAAATGCAAAACAATGCTGAAATCCATGAGATATTTATGACTTGAAGCAATGAATCTACATAGGGTAGCACAGCTCATTGCAGACTCAGATCCAGAACAACTCTGGCCGAACCAGCACAATGCTGCATTTTCACAACAGCATTAACGCATTAACTCAGATCAAGCACAAGATAAATGCAGATGTCATGCTTCCAGACCTTGCATGGATGCCTCCACATCTGTGGGGTAGATACACAAGGTACCTCTTGTCTCAGACAAAACTCTTAAGTACGCCAGGTTTTGGCACATGCTTGGAATCACCATCAATATATTGTGGCCTCCAGGCAAGCGTCACCAGACCTCACTCCTCCAAGAATCAGCGAGCCTTTTCCATTGATTACTCTTACCCCACAAGACCCTTCCATTTAGCTACAGGAGCTCTTCAGCTTTATTGTCTCTGCTAAGATAATGAAAAATGGATGTCACCGTATCTCTTGCATATTCAAACAGCAGAACCTCATTTCCTTCATGTAAGAACCAGACAGTAGATATTCACACAGCTTTCAGTCACAATGAGGGGAACAAAACTAAAGAGATAAGCTGCCCTTTTAGGTTAAACTCACAAGAAGGCCTTCATTTACTCATTGTTGAAATTTTTACAGATACTTAGATTGCTGAGATTATTCAATGGGCTTGAAAAGACTCAGGGAAAAATGCAACAAACCTCAATGGTTTCCTTTGCAATTGAATGACTTTCCTTTTCTTATGTATGCAATTACTGAGAGAAACCTAAACCTTCCCAAGCCTTCACCTTTGATCAGAGCAGGTATCAAATACTGTTTGGCTTAAGTACATTTTGTGCTTGTTTCACCTGCAAATACAAACATCTATAGACCACTTGCACTTTTACCAAATTTGTTTCATGGATTTCATTCTGTTTCTACCTTTCACCTAAAAGGGGTATCACGTACATGGAGGCTACTTTTCTGTGAGGAGATGGTGAGAGATTTACTTTCGTTCAAAAATTACGAGACTAGATCCATCTCGGAGTAATTCCACTGAAACCTGTAGGATTATACCAACAATTATTAAATTTTGTTATCCGCTTAATATCATCAGAACAAAGCTAATCTGCATGTTTCAAATGCTTTTGCTAATGTCACAGTGAAGTTGACAACTTGCATGCTTTTTAGCAAGATATTTACATTACTGGGACAGCCTTGGATCAAATTCTGCCAAATACCTTATGCTCCAAATCAGTCCTGCGTGGGTAGGCCTGGAAGAGCTGAGTTCAACCCCAGGGCTGAATCTGATCTCTCGAATTTGATCAAAGTCACAAGGACTGGCTTTCTCATGCAAGGCTTTCTGTTGCTTCTGGGCTGTACATACTTGACAACACGGTAGCTTATATTGTCTCAGCAGTCTCAGGTTTCTGGTCCCAGACGAAGTGTAGAGACACACACACACAAAGATAAAAATAAGTAACTCTTTACACAGTGTATATTCAGGCAGAGCTGGGATCTGAAAATCAAATTTGGGCTTCATAGCACTTGGAGAAGAATTTGAGGTGAGGCTATAAAACAAATATATGGAGTTAAATCTTCCTTGTTTTAGGATTTTGGGTCAGGATAATCCCTTGTTAAATGACACTAGTTTGTTTATGAGCTTTGGTTCTTGTTCAGTGGATTATTCTTTAATTCAATTAAAATAACAATGACTCCTGGCCAAAGGGCCTTATCCATGTGTACATGTTCAAGTAATCTCATTTAAGTCAGTACAGGATGGCTTGCAGGACTCGGCTTACAAGAACAGAGGGAGCAGCCTATTTAACATTATGTGGTCTATATTGCAATCCTAGTGAAGCTTCAGGTCTAGGTTCAGGTTTACTGTTTGAAACTAAGGACAAGACTTTATAGGCTTTTTAACAGTTTCTTTACGGCTTTGGATCAGTTGGCACAAATCAGAAGTCACCCTAATTACTTACAAATATTTTCATATCACTATATATTCACGCTGAAACCAAATCACACTGCAGGACAAACCAAGGACAAACGTTGCGTAGGTTTAGTGATAACAGCCTCTTCAAGGTCAACAGACACTCCTTCATCATCCCTGACTGAGCCAGAGCTAGCATCCTTTACAAAGTTCGGGGTAGTCACTGCTGTGAGCAGCTAAGGACACGTGGCTTAAAGCACTCCTCGCAGTCTGCATTTAGAGCAGTGAAGTGATTTAGAGCACCTCCTGGAGGTGGGCCCATGAATCTCACCAGTCCTTTCCCTCACAAAGTACCCACAGAAGAGTTGAAACCTTGCTGTCCAGCATTTCAGGTTAAGGTCAAGGCCACTGTGCTCTTCTGTCCCACTCCCTCCTCCCTCAAAACCTCCAGCACCGATGACAACTGGAACAGCTTACTGCATGACCCTCATATCCTAAAGGCTGTCCAAGAGAAGGTAGACCCCTGTCAAACCCCTGCCACAGATGAGGCAGAATGAAGCTCTAACCATTAGGACAGCTTAACAGGAGACATCAAAATCAGCTTTTAGGATCCCAATAGCACTAGGTCCCACAGACAAGGCCAGTAAAAACTTCTGTATTTTGTGACTCAGTGCATAAATGCTTTAACAGCACTTAGAGCTGGCTGGATATGCACATGTCCAACAAAGTATAGGACATGCCAGTTTACATGGCAAGACCGGTTTTTAAGACCCAAGCTTTTTATGCAGGTACATAAAATAGCAGCAATATACTCAAGCCCTTTTTCTGGACCTATCACTAAAATTTAATACTTAAAGAAGATATAATAGCTCTCAAGTACATTTTACCAAGTATGACTGTTATAAGGCAAATGTACAACTGATGGTCATGCAAAGAGCTAACTGGGTTGAGCTTTCTCTAAGAAGGGGGAATTTTACAGATTCTGTAGTGTGACATTTAATGGATATTATATAGTCTTATATACACAGCATTATGTATTATATAGCATAATTATATAGTATAATATTTAGGCTTATGGAAAATCCTACATACATTCAATATTTCAGATTACATTCCTGTGAACTTATAGAAAAAATAAGTAGATAAAACAACCCCAAAGCTGACATATGATCTGTTGAAATTTCTATCTGCTTGCATGGCATAAAATGGTAAGACTGTCAATAAAACATTTAAGATAGGCATCTAATTCCCATAAACTCTCACTATGAGCTAAGCACATAAATCTCTCAGGTACATTTAAGAGAGATCCTATGAGAATTCAATTGAATTTACTTGCAAAACAAAATAATCTATGTTTATAATTAAGCTGAATTCTGGAAGGCACCTGTTCTGCCTTGCAAAAATTTTACGTTTTCCAGAATAACTTGTAAAACACACAAGTTGTGCCAGTTATATTCCCTCAGCAGATTTCTGTTCAGTTATTTTCAAGGCCACAAAAAAAAATCATAGAAAGAGCTTTAAAAAACATTAAATGGCAGCAAAACAGTCTCATCTAGACCAGAGAAACTGCTTTTCTACAGCTCTTTTTTTTCCTCCCACACTGGACAATACTGCTGGGTTGAGATTTAACCAGAGATGGGCTCCTTTTACAAGATTGCTTATATAAAGTGAAGATAAAACCAGCTGGCTTCACTTGGAGAAGGACATCTTAGGAAGAGCCAATACGCAGTTACTGGAATAAGACCGGAATGAAAATCTGAAATACTTAGCCCATTCCTGTCCTATAGGTATTATACTTATTTTTTTACAGAATGTATAGTATTATAATAGGAAGGAACTATCACTGAAATATACTGTATGATTTTATATATCTATATGTCTGTGTGTGTGTGTGTGTGTGTGTGTGTGTGTGTGTGTGTGTGTGTGTGTGTGTGTATATATATATATATAAACATTTTTAAAGCTAGGCTGAGTTAAAATGTTGAAATGGATTATTTCTCTTGGAGATACTCAATTGGGAAGTATTTTTTTTCTTTACCTGGGCACAGGTCTAGCCACGTGTGTGTGTGTGTGTGTGTAAAACCTCTGACAGTCTTCTCAATGATGCATACATGAGGGCAGATACTGATGTCTTGTAAGGAAAAACAAGAGAACTCCAGCCTCAATCCCGCAAGCTTTTCTTTGCTGGAACATGTTTCTGTCACTGGGAAACAGCTTGCAGGTTTGAGGCCTGCAGTTGAAACGTAAATTACTTTTACACATGCGTACTCTGAAAACTCAAAAGTTTGGCAGTACTGATTACATCATTTATCAGAACTGATCTACACAAAATTAAGATTATATACATCAGGATAGCCAAAGAATAGTTTCAGCATGAACTTAATAAGCAAAGTATGTTACTTACATGATATTTTGCCTATTAATTTCTATTATCTTTTTTCAGCTTCCATTGTTTCAGTTTGATTTAGATAAACTAACCACTTAAATTTTAAGCTCTTTACCAGAAAAGCAAAATCCTAGAATAACTCAAAACTATCACTCAACTGAAATAGTAAGATTGTCACAATATTGACACAGAGGTAATAGTGGTCTTCAGTAAACGTGTCCTGCAGATGGAATTCATTTGGATGAAAGAGTATCAGTAATGTTATTTGCTTCTCTCTGCAAGAATAACATGTTAAACAGTAGCTACAGTTTCAGGTTTGCAGTGAATGGATTTTTTTTCCTTTCCATTTGTAACGACAAATTCAGCTTTTATTCCCTGTGTCTTCAGATTATTCCAAGAAATGGTGACTGTTACTATTTATCTGCTGGTCATCTTGGCTCAAGCTCTTGCAGGGCCTTGCAATCCAAATAAAGCAGGTAAAATAACGTAGTTATGTTTTCTACAATCTTCTCTTATAAGTAAACCGCCAAAGGGTTTCTTGTCTTTTCAAGAGTGCAAAGATTTTTCTTCATAGAGATAAACTATGGGTTCTTGATAGCTAATCCTTGCATATCTTTTATTGATCTAACTGTTTTCAGCCAGCACAGAAAAGCAAGCACTGCTAAGGTCCTAGCCACACAGAGAGTAAGGCATATGCTTAACTTTGTGTGATAACCACAGTGCCTAAAGTTATGCCTGGATCCTGCCTGTGCTTAAGATAGCAAAGAAAATAGCAGTAATTAGAAATTATCCACAATAGAAAAGGCTAGATGTAACAGATCTCTGCTGCCCAAGCTGAGCTTTAGACCCACTGACTGCAATCAGATTGAACGAATGTGCTGCACTGAACTCCTGAACCATGCTGCTATATCACAAAAATATGGAAGCTAAGGCCCTAATTGCACACGGGTGTCTGCCTAGGAACCCAGATGATCTGGTGCCGGAGATTCCTGTAATTTAGAATACACTAAAATTAGGAAACATGCTTTAGAAATGAGTTGAAATACTTTTCAATATGTAGTGCATGCTTTGTACGTGCATGGTTCGTGTGTGTGTGTATAAAATAGGCTGGTGAACATTACTGCCAGGCACTTCAGGGCATATCTTTAGTATTTGACTCTCTAGCCATTCATGCTAGTATCTTCACTTGCACAAGCAGTTTCTCTGAACCCAGCAGAGTTGTAAAGTCACCAATAGTGCAGGCAGATATTAGCCTATGTGATGAAAGTTTCTTGATCAGAAAGGAGTGAATCGTTAAGGTCCCCTATTTGTCTTTCTCTAAGTATTCTCTAAGTTTCACCAGACAAGGAAAGACTGCAAAATCAGGCTTTTATCATAAAAGTGAGTGTGTTGGGATTATTTTAATAAATAACTAAATGATTTTGGGCAAAGTATCTTTCTTGTGACTGTAGTAATTGGTAGTTTTTGAGTAATCTTTCTCAATTTTCAGGTCACTACTAATTAGTCTGTATTTTGCCCTTTAAATTCATATCAGATAATAAAATTTGCCCTGACTGGTTCCCTTCGAAAAAGGTCCAAATTCTTCCAGTATCACAAAGTAAGCAATCTGTAAGTTATCACGTTCAGTATTCATGGCTGTATTAACAACAGCTGTGTTTGGAAACACATTCTATTGCTATTAACTATCACTATTAACAGGGTTGGACTTTTTATTTCATTTTTTGAACTTAACTTTTAATTCGAAAACTGTAACAACGCTGTTTGTATTGGCCCTGGAATGCTAGTGCAAGGAAGGGAAGGGAAGATTATATATTGTGGCCCATATCTAATACTGCTACAAGCAGATGCAGACCTACTGAACAAACAACTACAACAACAATATTTTTAGAGTCAGTGGTGTTACACCAACAGAAACTAGCTCTGCAGCTTAATCTGATATGACATATTTCAGTGCAGCAATATTTCACTTCAGGTTTCTTAGCTGTTTCTTTGTTCTTTGAATTGCTATTCCAAAAAGATTTAAAATTTACATAAGTCCTAGTTAATAAAAAGGCAAGGGTAAAACTCTTCTAGAGACAATCGAATTTAACCCAAAGGTCAGTTCTGCATAGCACATTACAGTCCTGATTCCCCAGTTGCTCACATTAGGGGACCTTCCAGCACATACTTCTGCTCACAGGAGTTTAATTCCATTAGGAAGTAGGTGTGCAGACCAGTGTCTTTGAAAGAAAAATGCCACATGAATATCTCTGTAGGTGTATTATTTTCCTTTCAGATGTAATTCTGGTATATTGCTATCCTAAAAGCATCATCACAAAAATTCCAGAGTGTCCTTATGGATGGGAGGTTAATCAGTTGGCACTCGGAGGCATTTGCTACAATGGCATCCATGATTCAGGATACTACCAATTCACAATTCCAGACCTGTCTCCTAAAAACAAGTCATACTGTGGGACGCAGTCAGAGGTAAGATTATCAAGGTCAACATTTCTGAAAGGTTGTAGCAACACAATACTCTGAGCTGGACTCACAGATCAGCTGAACTCACCTGAAAGAGTCCCAATTGCTTCAGCAACCTTGGAGCAGTAAGTACTGCTGAAAAGTAGAGGCAAACACCAGTATTAGTGCTCATTTACATTTGGGGGAAAGGAGGAATCAAATAGCTCTGCTTTGCACCTACAGGCAAAATATCCCCTGGCTTAGTGATATTAGGTCTGTATGTTGGTCCTCCATTTGCACGCACCTGTACTACACAGAATGTACATGGACAGCAGGCAGCACAGGGTATAAAGGCTACAAAACCATGTTTTCTTGGGAACAGTATTTTGTTACCACATTGAGTCTTCATGTTTCAAAGTACTAAGTTGTTTCTGATGTCTCAGATACTCACAGCATACATTTCTCTGTCTCACCATCTACAGTTTAAGAACCCTGTCTATCACTTCTATAACTCCATTGTGTCCAATGACTCCTCAGTAATTGTGAAGAGCCAGCCAGTGAATTATTCATTCACCTGCACATACAATGCAAACTACTTGGTGAACCAGGCTGCCTTCGACCAAAGGTAAGTCCTGTTCTTGGAGCGAGCCTCATTCCGTTTTCAACACCACATTTCACTCATGTGGAAACTTTCTTATATTCCTAGGGTAGCTACCGTCCATGTGAAGAATGGGAGCTCTGGTTCATTTGAAAGTCAGTTATCCCTCAACTTCTACTCTGTAAGTGCCCTTTGTCATTCAGATTTTCCCCTTCAACTCTCCTTGACTTCCTAGCCATCAGAGAAACCTAGACTAAGAGCTGAAAAAAAGGCCTGCTGCTTCTGAGTTTTATCCCTTACTAGCCTGCTGCTTCTGAGTTTTATCCCTTACTAGCCTGCAGTAGATAATTACAGTGAGATTCACAGGGGTCCTGGTTTCTACTGATTAACAGAAATGTACTTAAACAGAACAGAGCAGATGTGCCAGCTGTTCTTTTAATCCCTCCAAATAAGGCAGATTGCTGAGCAGTACCTTTCAAACATGCTGACAGGTTTTGTGAGAAAAAGCAAAACCTTGTTTGTAGTCTCACTCAAAGAGCAGCATGCATCTTCAGGCACCACTGCTATGACATAGTCTCAACAAATACAGAAAAGCTCCATACATTTCTCTTGCGGTTCGCTACCTTGTCCTCTCAGCGGACAGATATTTCATGTTCCCCAAAGATGTTTAGGTCATGCTGGAATTTTGTTTCCAACATTCGCCCCTGGATATCAGGCTGCTCTTTTGAAACATCCACTTACTTCCCACAGCTTCTTTGTGCTGCTGCAGCAGCCAGCACCTGATCCTTGAGTCTTTTTTCCAAAGCAGTCTATTTTACCTCAACTAGAAAAAAGTACAACTAGCAACATACTATTTTAGATGTATAGACTAGATGGACGGAGTATTTAGCACAGGGTGGATAAGATGAATCTCCCCCATGTACACCCCTCTTGGATTTAGGTCAGCAGTTGATCACTGAACGCTTTGGCCGCCTTTGGATGCTTCCATGTGCTCATTATTTCTGATATACGGCACACTGGTAGTATGTAGTAAAGAAAGGTCTCAGGAGGTACCACACCGCTGCTGTCAACTCATGACTGAATGACTGCAGAAACAAATGATGGACATTGAACAATGGATCTCTGGTACTCTTTTTTTGGCCAAATAACTGTTTTTTTCCAATGGCCCTGGGGCTCCCAAAAGTCAAGGGGAGAGGGGCAAACTGTATATAATACACTCATCCACTAAGCATAAGGGCATAACAAGCTCAAAAGGCTAACAGGCCTTTTACTTTATACATGTTTTCATTGGTGAGAAAATGCTAGTTTTGATTAAACTTTTTCCTGGCAAAATGGAAACAAAGGATTTTTTTGCCTTGCCAGTTACCTGTTGCTGCTGCCTAACACAGCCTCATGCCAGGCACAGTGCCAGGTGCTTTATATGCCCATTTCTTCATCAAGAACCAGCACCTAAGCTGCACTGCACTCCAGCGAACACTTCCGTCTCACCTGCCCTTTACTCTGTGTCACATCAGTAACAGCAAAGGACTATGACACAGCATAGGGGATGAAGACTGAATTGAAATCAGATCCTCAACTCTTAAACTTGTTAGGAAGAAAAGAAAGATAGTACTGTAAAACAACGTATACTGACAGAGTTTGGCAAAAGAAGGAATACTCTATGAGTCTACATTGTTTTACAGTACTATCTTTTGCTAAAATGAGCTGAGCGTTGATAAGAGTCTTGCAACGGTACTTCTGCAACGATTCCTGCGCCAGCATCTCATATTGCAGGTTGAGTTACGCCCTGTTTTCTTTAAACATGATAGCCATCTCGGGATAAGATAATCAAGTGCTTCCCAGGCCTTTCAGGATGGTCAGCAAACAATGCCGGCTAAGGAAGGCTTCCCTACAGCACAGGGCAGTTGTAACGCTCCACTTTCCCTTTGAGTTTCTGATGAACAGTAGTACTAGCTCTGTAAGAGAGAGAGGCCAGAGAGCAGGAACTGCCCCACTCAGCAGGTGCGAGCATGCTGTCTGAAGCTGTGAAGCTCACTTCAGCAGTTTACTCGGAGAAAATTTTGCTTAAATCAGAATTTCTCAGTGCACTAACAACCACATATCACTAACCTAAATGCAGCTTTGAGCCTAAACTTCAGTGCACCCGATCTATCAGAGGTTGCAATGGGAATAGTGTAGCATCTCACAGCCACCTCTCCACGTAGGAGAATATAAGAAAAATAGTACTGAGCAAACACAGCAGGAAAAGATAGTTTAAGAGCTCTGCAGAAATCTGGGACTATGCTTACCCAAATCCTGCTGCGTAAATTTAACTGAGCAGAAAAACAAGCACATTATACTTTATATACTTCTGGTGCTATTTTTTGTTCGGACCTGATGTAATAAAAAGGAGCATGATTTAAGGTAGGCACTTTTATCAGAGTATTTGTAACCAGACCTTCTCAGCTAAACAACACATATTGCACAACCTTTAGTGGGCTGGCTCTTTCTACTCGGTGAGCCACGTTCTGCTCACTCCTGCCTCCCCAGCTCTCACCATGCCAGCCATCACCACCAGTTTAAATCACAGAGGCTTGAGGAGGGTTATTTCTACTTCTCTTCACTCCTTTTGACCCTCACACAGCTGTCTCCAAATCCCATTCCCACTTCATACAGTCATCTCCAGTTTCACCCTCCTTTCTGCTTCCACCATCACCTCTGGTATACTGGAGGCAGCAGCAAGCTCAACTTCTGCTCACATGCTGTGATACAACATGCCCCATGGCCCACACAGCCTCACTTTCTGTCATTTATTACCATTTTGAGCCAAGCATTAACAAAAAAAATTTTTAAAAATCACATTGGACTTGCAATAGCCCTACTAATAAGCCCAGGTTTATGAGTCTGCAGGTAATAACAACTCAGACTTCTGGACTACACCTCTCCAAAGCTATCTGAAGTTGCCACATGCCTTTGCTTTGCGTGTTGCTAGTAATGTACAATGCCTTTCTGTTTCTCTTTCAAAGAATGCCAAGTTTTCAAGTATAAAAGAAGCCCCTTTCATCGTTGAAACATCAGAAATTGGCTCTGACATATTTGCTGGAGTGGAAGCTAAGGGCTTAAGTGACAGGTAGGCATATGAGGGAGTAATAATTAATAAATAGGCAATCAGAACATTACTTGCTGATCTGGGGTTTGTCTCCTCAGGTTCAAAGTCGTTCTCAACAACTGTTGGGCAACTCCCTCCTCGGAGTATTTCTACCAGATCCAGTGGCCTCTGATCACCAAGGGGTAGGTTCTGGTGGGGGCCGGGGGAGCACCTCCAGAATGAGCCAGCCCCAGGGCACCCATGATGATACTGTGCAGCAGAGTTATCCCAAGGATCCTCAGCAAACACAGGCCTGACTGTGTATTTCCACCTCAGGCTGGAGGGGTTGGGCCTCGTCAGCCACCCGGGAGGAAGGCAGAAAGGCGGAACAGAGATGAAGGGGCAAAACCACTAGTGTTCATGCCAACAGGGGAAGGGAAAAGTGTGGTAACTGGTGCTCCCACTGGGGAGCATCCCACTTTCCAGAAGTAATGTTGGCCCCACTGTCTCTGCCTTTTTCTTCTGCCCTGACAGCAGTAACCACACAGGCTTTTCAGACTGCTGGAACAGGCCTATTTGTTCAGCTTAGCTGTCTGCTACCCTGGGTTACTGTCTGTTTTGCCTAAATGTACAGCAGACCCTGTGTTATGGGCATTAGCATCTGAAGTCACAAAAGGAGAGGAAGAAAACAAGAGTGCATTTTGGAGATAACACTTTGAATTCTGGTATTTTGATTTAAAAGTAGGTAACTCCCTGCAAATTAATCACAGGCTTTAAGAGTACCTGGAAGGCTCTGCTGACCTTTCAGTGCTTGTAAAACTAGCCAGATGCCAGCAGCAGGGTCTGATTTTTGGAGTCACAGTCATCTTCCAGGACCCCTGACTGTTTCCTAGCAGTCAAGAGCAGAAACTGGCCCACAGCAGGGTCTTGCAGATGCCTCCATCAGACTGCAACCTCAGGAGACTATTTGCTGAAGCCGTATGTGTTCTTACACTACTTCTCCATATGCAATATAGGTGTGCCACAGACAACTCTATCCTCGTGCATGAGAATGGGAAAACAAGCCGGGCTACGTTCCAGTTTAATGCTTTCCGTTTCCGTAACATCCCCAAGCTGTCCAAGGTCTGGCTGCATTGTGAGACCCACGTCTGCGACAGCGAAAAGTTCTCCTGCCCTGTGGTAAGGCCTCCTTCCGAGAGAAACACCAGGCGCTAAATTGAGATAGAGGATGTTGAGAACCTACCTCAGGTTCCCTGCATGGGGAGCTAGAGCTCTAACGAAGTGCAAGAGGTTTCACTAGAGGAGCCAGCACAATGTATTAATCGGAGTGGCTGCTCCTGCACCCTGACCCCTGTCGTGCCATGGGTACTATTTGCAACATGGAGTAATTTGCTTAAACATATTGAGAAATACCGTAGCCATTTAAAAATCCAGTTTTTGTCAATATTCCAGACTAGGCTCCTACCTACCAAACAGGTTATATCTGAAAAACTGAAAAAGGAGGAAGTAGAACTGTTACCATTTTACCAAATATTTCAGTGGTAATGGCACCCTGGGGACAGTGGGAGAACCTAGTTCAATGCTCTCCTCTATTTGAACAAAACCTACCCAGCCCTCATTCCTAGGGAAAGGCCTTGCCCCTATGCAATAGCTCTGTGATAAATTACTGCTTTTGGAGCTGTCCTATTCCGCATAAAATACATCATTTGCACCAGAGCAGGAACTGAGATCAAGGAGCATGTTACTATGACCTTAGGTGGGAATGAGAGGGGAAGTGCTATACAAATGTGTTATTGAACATGGGGAAGTGTGCACTGACTGCACCAACTGATTTTGGGGGTAAGGGTTACCAAAGTGTCTGTCTTGTTCACTATACTTTTCACTTTACAGCAATATGTCATTGCTATAAAGTGCGTTTTATTTAACGTGAAATGAAAGCTCAAAATACTGCACTGCCTACATGCACACACTGTCACTTCAACAACAAATACTTCTCGCTGAAGGATAGGAAGAATCACTCATGGTCAAACCAACTTTTCTTTCTAAATGCTTTCTCAGTTCAGGAGTCAAATTAAAGATAGCAGTTTTTTACCAGCCCCAGCACTAAACAGGGGGCATTGATTTGTACAAAAATGCCACGTCTGAAATAACACATTGTTAGAAATTCTAAGTTTCAACCAAAAAGAAAAAAATGCTGGGCTTAGGTTTTAAGATTTTTTTTCAACTTTGTATTCAGTCACAGATGATAGTTAAAAGAAACAAAGCAGAAAAGAATTTTAAATCTACTGAAAAATGTACAGGAACCTAAAGATTGTTGCTTTTTCCCAAGCCAACACTAGCATGCAACCACTGAGACCATGACTCATGACCTGTAGTTAAGTCCAAGCATGATTTCCTTTTGGTACTCCATATCTGCCTTTTTCACTGTGCTGCCAAACATCTACATCCTCTTTACAGACACAGGATGAAATTCCCTCTTTGCTCTTCAGTATAAGACAATTGCTCAATCAGTGTAACATCCCTGAAGCCCACTTCCAACCCTGAAATCCAGGTGATGGTCTGCTGCAATCAAGTCTGAAACAAGCTGGGGTCTAGGCTTACAAGCAATGCATTACTGCTGGAACCAGAGCTGCCACATGCTGAGTTTGTAAAAATGCCCACAGCTGGGGATCTGGAAAGGTCAGGGAATGGACAAGGACCTTTAATCTAGAGAGCACTGCCTTCAACATAGCCCTTGTCAGTTGTGACAGGAGTCATTAGGGCTGCATGAGAGATGATAAATATGGAACTTCCTGTTCCTGCCCCGCAGGCAACAATCGTAATTTACAATAAACAACAACAGAAGCCTTCCATGGATTCAGTAGATGGAGCTCAGCTACTCTCTTCCTCCTTGACAGGAGGTTTAAGGCAGAGTGGAAAGGGCAGGCCAGGAGTACCTGTGATTAATAAGCAGACACCCATCTGGACTCTTGCCATGTCAGAACTGAAAAGAGCACTTACACTGACAGCTACTGTAAAAGTTGTGGCACACAGAAGTCCTCAGAAAACAGATGGTAAAGATTCTCCTTCAAAAGTAACCTCTCTTGCACTCAAAGAACTCCAATAATTACAGCAATAAATATCACTAGAAAATATGCAGCAAAACTGACATAGATTTCATTGCCTTGGTTGGAAACATGAGAGCTGGGGTTTTTCGGTAGAAAATGCATGGTTTTCTCTCTGATCTCTCGAGACATGTGAAAAACGAAAATGGCGCATGGAACAAACAGGAGGTGTTTTAATGGCAGAGCTCGCTGTACGCAGTAAGTGACTGGCTTTCCAAGGATTTTCTCCCTTTCGGAAGCAATGAATCCAGGAGCAGTCGGTGGCTTGGAGTACTGCAGTAAGCATGAGGAGCAGAACTGCTCTTCCAAAGCCACTTCCCCCGCTCCATGAGAATAGGAAGGAGTCTTGAATAGAAGTTGGTCCTCTCCAGATTCAGGGCACTGACAGAAGTGAATTAACAAAGTGAATTAACTTGCCTGTTTGGCATTAATGATAAATGGACAAACCACTTGCACATTAAGTTAGCAAACTAAACTCTGTGTATCTGCATTTGACCTCAGCAACAGCCCAGATAAGCTCCGCTAGAGCGCAAATGAGTGGGGGAGAGACCAGGCTTAGAAACAGCAGGAAAGCTGCACAGATGATTTATGCAATTAGTTGCTACCTCAGTGTAACCATACATCTAATAGTTTTACTCTTCAGGCCCATCCCTCCTAATACACAAACACACACTGAACTATCATCTGTTTTTCTCCTTATAATGCAAACCCTTTTTCCTCTGACTACTGCCCTCCTGGAGGCATCAGGAATTTCTCCCTGAGCTGGTTTAATTCTGCAGGTGCAGCAAATCTGCTGAAACAGGTCCTTTGAACAAGGTATGCCTGAATCACATTTTCACTAAAGCCATTTATACTAGTTTATCAGTTACATCCACACCAACCTTAAAGCCCCTTCATAATTCCAAATACACATACAACAGCATTATTGCAAATTAGTATTTTCCCCTTGCACCAGCAAAACTCAATTGATTTCAGAAGATAAAAGAACTGAGGATTTTTCTATAACTTCAGGGTCCAAGCAGACAGTAAGGCCAAGAGACAAAAATATCTAGAATTTCAAAATGTGGCAAATGTTATCTATTCTGCTTTTACAAAGCACACTGATGCACTTTGTCCTATTTTAAACATGCCGTCCAAATGTTCTCTCTTTTTCTTCTTATTTTATACAGGCAAAGGTTTATCCAGCTTTTACACTCTCTCAGGTAAACAGCAGAATATGACAATGTAAATATCAATCCTAAATTTGCATCTTAAGTGACTCTGTCAACATCAAAATCCACAGCTCAAAGAAAAACTTGATAAGTTCAGCAAATTGGACAGAAATAGAAACATTTCACAATCAATGTTTTTTCTGAACATTACACACTTGTATCCCTCCTCCTGGCATATCCTTCACCCCAGACAATGAAACCACACCAATAACTTTCAATATTGAACATCACTTCTGCTCTTATTTTCATGCACTTCCAACCCTAGAGGGGAATATTTCTATGAACAAGGAAAAGAAACAAACGTGTTTCACTGGGTTAGCAGAGATGTCCTGAAAACATTTCTATTTGGAGAGGATTTGCAAAAGCTCTTTCAAAACTTATTTGTTAAAACTTGATGTGCTGACAGAGCCACATTAGGAAAACTCACTTACATTGATGGGGGTGGGAAGGAAACAAGAATAGAACATGAAAAGTAGCTGACAGTGAAGTGCTCACACTTACTCTGTGTTTCTCTTGCAGATATCATGTTCCACCTGCTCTTCATGATTGGATTCTGTGCGGTGTCATCATAAAACACAGCTCAGCTGCGTTTCTTAACTTTTACCAATCCTCTTTGGAACTGGACTTCATTACTAAAGATGTTTATTTTACAGAGGAAACCCCCCCCACACACACACAGAAAATCCTTGTGCACCATTTTACCACATAAATAAAACATTCCATGAGGTCTGTGCCTGTAATACTGGGGAATCCCAGTGCAAATTTACCATTCCCAAGTCCCTGCAGGTATTTTATATCAGTGAAAAAACAAGGGTTATGTATTCAGCTGATGCCTACTTTTTAAAGTGTTGTGATGCGAACAGTACTTGTTTCTATAAGAACAGAGGGATATGCAAACTCAGTATTTTCCGAAGCAAAATTTCCCTTCAAGATCCCTTTTCCTGTTAGCCTCACAACATGTTACAGAACTCCCCTCTAGGCTTGGTCCTGTAAGGCTCTGAACAATTTAGCTTGATCTGTGGAGCCTTTGAGGATAGGCTTACCTTGGGCGATTTGTCCCTTTGAAGCCAATCAGCTTCTTATGTGCCAAGTGCTCTAGTGGATCAGATCTTCACTTGCAGGATCAATCCCTTATATAGTTTGTGCATTTTTCCCCTCTTTATTCCATTGAGCTCACCAGGTACATATCACAGAAAACGCAGCAGTCTCATGCAAAGAACAGTAGGGTCCACAAAACCTGGCTCTACAAAGTAGAAAATTAACATAATTCACCTGGAACCACATAGAAATGAATTTCACTGTCAGAAGGAACAAGGTGGAAATTTAGTACTTCCATAAGAACAAATCTCTACCATCCAGGCTAAAGAAGTCCCTCTGGAGGAGGGATATGCTCGTTATATTCAGCCTAGTTTTTAACTCCACAAACCGCCTCAAAATTTTTTGCAACTATGTATCAAACTCTGTGTTAAAACTAAATTTGCACAGCTTGAGCCCTCCCTGTCCAGTAATACTAGGTCAGCATACAAAGCATCATACTTTTGCCTATGCCATGTGCATGGGGAAAGTAATCAGACGTTGAATCCTAGCAAGAACATCTCTTCATCGACCTGTGCTCACAGGCACATTAATTCTGGAAGCCAAGTTTATAAGTAAATCATTCCACCCATCCTCTCCCCACACCACCTATTTTGCTCTGCTGGATAATGACTCCAATTCCTAGAGCTTTGCTCCTGAAGTTCGAGTTCTCTCTTAGGATTCCTATCTGCTTGCCTCTGCCTTTACGTCTATTTTTTCATCACAAACCAGTTTGAACAAAAATGTGAAAAAGTAAAGATTTATCCATTTCTAAAACCATATTTCCCTAGAAACATCCTCATGCAGCTTTTCATTCTTTCTCTTCCGGCTCATATTTATATCCAGCAAGGTCAGAGGAATCAGAAGGCATTTTCTCCGAGTGCCTAATGGAAGGATAGCATGCTGTCTGTTACCTGTTCAGTATCTTCATTTCCCATAGAACATGAAAACAAACCTAACATGTCAGGGATTGGAGAAAAGGATGCTTCCCATGTAGCAGAAGTTAAAAAATCCTCAGAAGTTATTACCTGATATTTCTTTTCTGCTTCTCAGCAGTGTCAGTATTGACTGGTTGGGTTAAGTAGAATATGACATGTACTGCGGTAGGTACAACACTGTTTAGAATAGGAAGTCTTGCTAACTGGACAGGCTTAGTATTGGACACTGTATGGTATGGATGCAAATTAAGCACACCTGGCATTGTAAAACAAGTTTGTGAGCTTTACAGTATAACCTTGGAGACATAGCTACTATCAGATACAAGAGGGCCCAGCCTTAGCTCCTTAAAAGGTGGAATCTATAGCAGACAGCATCCACCCTGACAGCCTTCAGAAAAGCGCTATCAGCTCTGAAGTGTATTTAGCCACTACACACAACAGAGGGCACTCTCTTGACGGAACTATCTGATTTAGGCAGACAACGGTTTAAATTAGAGAACTGGATGTGTCACTTGGAAGCAATTCTTAGTCGTAAAAGTGTCTAAAGCAGCACAGAGCTGCTGAATGTTTTGCACACCACAGAAATAATGATCTTGCAGATTTTTTCCCTCTTTTTTTTTCTGCCACCCTTTCGCCCCAAACTCCTCCAACTAGTGCCCCAAGTTTCCTCACCCCTTACCTAGTGGCTCTACCTGTTTAAATCCTTGTTCTTGCCAAATGACGTTAACACACTGGCTCCTTTTCCAAAACCTCTCTCTTTTGCCTTGCCTTTGCAACAATCAGCACTCTCCTATCATGGTTATTTTCTGCAGAAAGCCCTGAACTGAATTTCCTTGGCAGGTTAATTCTCTTCCCAGTTACGTCTTTAAATAAAGCCTGCCTTGGAACAAACATTGCATGATCTCAGCATCTCTGAAGCATGCCTCTGAATTCCCAGGCCACCTCCCAGCCCACTGTGGGATGGAGGCTCTGGACATACATATCTCCCATATATGTTACAGCATTGTACTGAACGTGGATCATGCAGCCAGCTATCTTGTGACTGCAGGACGGGCAAAGCCCTATTACCAGTCTGGACCACTACCTTCCTACAGCACAGAAATGGTTTATCACTCAAGAAATGGCTCCCTCAGCAATGACTAAAAAAGTTTGCCTGCCTCAGTAGGCAACAATACATGAACAGATTCCAGTTCCAGAAGTGAGCCATTTACCATCCCCTAAGGATGCACAAATTTTCCATCCTATATAACTTGCTTAAAAAATATGGGCTATAATTGATGTTCATTTTTTCTAACCTTCATATGGCTTATCGTTATTTATTCAGCTAAATACAATTTATTTTGCCAGCAACAGAAAACACAGTGATTGCAAAAGATTTTAGCACAAGTTAAAGCTTAATAAGCTTCATAATTTTAGATGCACTACAAGGCTGGATCTTTTGCAGCTGGTGGGGAACGAAGGTACTTGTTTTGATCTCTGACTGGATGTTCAACTCTGCCATGCTTGAGCCACTCTATGAAGAAACCCTAGCCTTCATCCCTTTCACAGAATCACACAGAATCACAGAATGGTTGAGGTTGGAAGGGACCTCTGGAGAACATCTAGTCCAACCTCCCTGCTCAAGCAGGGTCACCTAGAGCATATTGCCCAGGATCACATCCAGACGGGTTTTGAATATCTACAGGGAAGGAGACTCCACCACCTCTCTGGGCAACCTGTTCCAGTGCTCAGTCACCCTCACAGGAAGAAGTTTTTCCTCATGTTCAGATGGATCTTCCTGTGTTTCAGTTTCTGCCTGTTGCCTCTTGTCCTGTTGCTGGGCACCACGAAGAAGAGACTAGCCCCATCCTCTTGACACCCTCCCTTCAGATAATGGTACACATTGATGAGATCACCTCTCAAGTCTTCTCTTCTCCAGGCTAAACAGGCCCAGCTCTCAGCCTTTCTTCATAGGAGAGATGCTCAAGGCCCCTCATCATCTTTGTAGCCCTCCGCTGGACTCTCTCCCGTAGTGCCATGTCTCTCTTGCACTGGGGAGCCCAGAATTGGACACAGTACTCCAGATATGGCCTCCCCAGGGCTGAGTAGAGGGGGAGGATCACCCTCAACCTGCTGGCAACACTCTTCCTAATGCACCCCAGGATACCATTGGCCTTCTTGGCCACAAGGACACATTGCTGGCTCATGCTTAACTTGTTGCTCACCAGGACTCCTAGATCCTTCTCTGCAGAGCTGTTTTCCAGAGGTCAGCCCCCAGCTTATACTGGTGCCTGTATGGGGTTATTCTTCCCCAGGTGTAGGACCCTGCACTTGCCTTTGTTGAGTTTCACGAGGTTCCTCTCCGGCAAGCTCTCCAGCCTGTCCAGGTCTCTCTGAATGGCAGCACAGCCCTCTGGCGTATCAGCCACTTCTCCTAGTTTTTCATCATTGGCAAACTTGTGAGGGGGGAATTTTGTCCCTTCATCCAGGTTACTGATGAAGAAGTTAAACAAGATTGGATCAAGTATTGACCCCTGGGGGACATCACTAGCTACAGGCCTCCAACTAGACTCTGTGCTATTGATTACAATCCTCTGAGCTCTGCCATCCAGCCAGTTCTCAATCCACCTCACCGTCCACTCATCCAGCTTGCACTTTCTGAGCTTGCCTCTGAGGATGTGATGGGAGATAGTGTCAAAAGCCTTGCTGAAGTCCAGGTCGACAACATCCACTGCTCTGCCCTCATCTACCCAGCCAGTCATTCCATCATAGAAGGCTATCAGGTTGGTCAAGCATGATTTCCCTTTGGTGAATCCATGCTGACTACTCCTGATCACCTTCTTGTCCTCCAGATGCTTAGTGATGACCTCCAGGATGAGCTGTTCCATCACCTTTCCAGGGCTGGAGGGAGACTGACTGGCTTGTAGTTCCCTAGGTCCTCCTTCTTGCCCTTTTTGAAGACTGGAGTGACATTGGCTTCCCTCCAGTCCTTCCAGTCCTTCAGTCCTCTCCTGATTGTCATGACCTTTCAAAGATGATCAAGAGTGGCCTAGCAATGAGGTCTGCCAGCTCCCTCAGCACTCATGGGTGCATCCCATCAGGGCCCATGGACTTGTGGGTGTCAAGTTTCCCTAAATGATCTCTAACCTGATCCTCTTTGACCAAGGGAAAGTCTTCCTTTCTCCCTGATCTCCAGGATCTGTGATTCCTAAGGGCTGGCCTTAGCAGCAAAAACTGAAGCAAAGAAGGTATTCAGTATCTCTGCCTTCTCTGTGACTTCTGTCACCAGGGCCTCTGCCCCATTCAGCAGCGGGCCCACATTTTCCCTAGTCTTCCTTTTGTTAAAGATATATTTTTAAAAGCCCTTCTTGCTGTCCTTGATATACCTTGCTAGATTTAGTTCCAAACGGGCCTCGGCCTTCCTTGTCACATCCCTGCATACTCTGACAATGCTCCTACATTCCTCACAAGTGACCTGTCCCTGCTTCCACCTCCTGTATACTTCCTGCTTATGTTTGAGTTTTGGCAGGGGTTCCTTGTTCCCCTTTGCTTGACTTCTTGCTCATAGGGATGCACTGTTC